ACGTGTGAAGGAATCGAGCTAGACATGCCGAGACTTACTGAAAATCAACGGAATGAAGCCATGGGAATGTCCAGGGCTGGCATTTCTACACGTGCTATTGCCAGACACTTCAATTGTCATCAGTCCACTATTGTAAGGTTGGTGGAACGTGTTCGAGTTACTGGATCAACACGTGACCGTCAACGTCCTGGTCCACAACGCGTTACAACCCGGGCTCAAGACCGCTACATCCGGGTCACACATCTGCGAGACAGATTCTGCCCAGCGACTCGAACAGGTGCAGCAGTCGTCGGAAGACAAGGACCAGTATGTGCCAACACTGTAAGACGTCGTCTAAGAGAAGTAGGGCTCCGTGCACGACGACCTTACGTTGGAGCTATCCTCAGGGATCATCACCGTCAGTGGCGTTTGATATGGGCTCGAGGACACCAGACATGGAGAAGAGTAGACTGGCAAAGTGTACTCTTCAATGATGAGAGTGATGAGAGTCGCTTTCATCTTTATCACGCTGATGGCCGTCAACGTGTGTGGAGACGTCTTGGGGAACGTCTTGCAGACTGCTGCGTCTTCGAAACGAATAGATGGGGTGGGGGAAGTGTAATGGCGTGGGGAGGCTTCACATTTCATCACCGGACCGCCCTACACATTTGCAGGAGTAGCGTTAATGCTGTAGCCTACCCTGATGATGTCTTGCAACCAATTGTTGTTCCGATGTTTCGAGCGCACCCACAACTTCAGCACTTCCAACAGGATAATGCACGTCCGCATACCGCCCGTTTTAGTATGGACTACCTGGCTGCTAACAACAGTAATGTCTTGGACTGGCCAGCCATGTCTCCGAACATGGCACCGATAGAACATGTCTGGGATGGGATTTGACGCCGTCTGTATCGGAGACCACAGATGCACACCATTGCTGCTTTAGAAGCTGCTCTTGTCCAAGAATGGAACAATTTGCCCCAGGCCTTCTTTCAAACATTGGTAAATTCCATGCGACGTCGCTGCACAGCGTGCGTAAGAGCCCGTGGAGGACACACGCGCTACTGACGTCTGTGTCGTACTTTTGGTTTTGACCCCTCTAACTTTGTACTGTTGATTACAAATTAAACATCCATAAGTGTACAAATGTGTTGTTATTGATGTGTTCCCATTTGAATATTGTTCACAATAAGAAGCAAAATAAATAAGATATGTTTACAGGATCATTTTGTTATACGAAAAACTAAGTGATGCGTTTTCCATGGCGCTCAGTATATTAACATAGACTTCATCGTCTCGGCTATACCATGGATCATATTAACATGGACTTAGTCGTCATGAAATGAAATGAAATGAAACGTTCTACTTTTCTGCTCCTAACCTGGGCTAATGAAGACGGGCATACGCCATACAGTGTGCTATGAGGGAAATTTTTTGCCCGTGCAGCGGCGATACGGCCTACTCTTATATCGAATTCTATCTGCCAAGGGATCTTTTACGTGCACGCCAATGTGTACACGGGACCTCGGGTTTTCGTCCAATCCGAACGACTAGACAGCTGTCCTTGTCAGGCCCTCCATCCTGCATCACTGACAAGGGGAAACCACGCCGGAAAATCTGGATGAACTTTCTCGGCCAATGCAGGGATGGAACACGCGACTTCCAGGTCAGCGAGCCAGCGTCTTACCCACTTAGCCACGTGATCCATGTATCATATTAACAAAGACGTGATCATCATAGATATACCTTGAATAAGTTAACATAGACTTGATGTTCATAACTACCATGTATTTTTTATTAATGTCAGATTTCTTGGAGGATTCATTTGTCCGGCACTAATTAACCCGGGAGCCACGGTGACACAGTGCTAAAAGATGTTGAAGGGGGGGGGGCGAATGGTTAACGCGTACGCATTGGATCATAAGGTCTGCCATTGGAGAAATGACATCTCTTTATCTAATCTTCCATAATATCCCTTTTTATAAGTATTAACACTAGAATACGATACGTTAAAGGACTAATCCCGATAATTGTTTGGAAAAATAAAACTGCTTGATTTTGTGTTAAAATCCCTTAAAATCCTCTACCCAAGGGACAAGCAACTAACTCAATATTTGTGATATGTTTTCAAACAACTTAAACCTGTCAGTCTTCATCTGGAAATGGAAACTGGTGTATTATGCAGTGTCTGGATAAAACCAGACTTTTATTTTATAAAAAATAATGTGTAGGTGAAATTTACCATTCATTATCAAGTACAGCACATGGGTCGTTCACTGTATAGACCTCTCAAGGAACGGAAATCGATTATCAGGTCACCCAACGAAAAAATTGACTCGAAATCTTGAAAGGGTTACGTGTCCGGATAAGCATTTTTGATGTTCACGTCGAAACGACTCAATATTTTGAGCTGAAATTTTGAGACACGGTAAATACACCATCCCTCTATATTTTGGCGCTTAAATTTCATACGTACTTGGACTTTTATTTTTGAGACTCTGTTCAAATTGGGAAAGTTCCTTTAAAGTTTGATACTGACACAAAATTAATATACAAACCATTTTTTTTATTCAAAATGAAATTAAAAGAATCTTCGTCGTGCGTGCAGTTTCTGTTCTTACACACAAGTAATATGGAATTTGGGTGTTTGTTGCATGGCAACCGTTTGTTGTATATTGTAGCTAAGAACAAGTAAAAGGGAATGTGGGCGTATCTTGCATGGCAACCGTTTGTTGTATATTGTAGTTAAGAACAAGTAATATCGAATGAAGTTTATAAAACATTCATTATCAACTAATGATATTTCAGTACAGATACAAATCATAAGGGATCACGTGGCTAAGTAGGTAAGACGCTGGCTCGTTTACCTGGAGGTCGGGTGTTCGATCCCTGCATATGCCGAGAAAGTTCATCCAGATTTTCCGCCGTGGTTCCCCCTTGTCAGTGATGCAGGATTTAGGGCCTGACAAGGACAGCTGTCTAGTCGTTCGGATGGGACGAAAAACCGAGATCCCGTGTACACATTGGCGTGCACGTAAAAGATCCCTTGACAGTTGGAATTCGGTATAAGAGTAGGCCGTAGCCTCGCTGCCCGGGCAAAATTTCCCTCATAGCACACTGTATGGCGTATGCCCGTCTTCATTAGCCCCTAGTACACCAAACCTCTAGCTTCTATAGAACTTTATAGATAACTATAATGTCTTTTTGTTAAATCTGTCATAAATCAAGAACAAGGTATAGATATTAAGCATAAAATGTGTTATTTAAGATACACTGTGTAAGAACTAAATCGGTTTATAGCAAGGTTTTTATTTGACTTCAAATGTTATATAAATTATTCACATGCCAGGCCAATAATAAACTAGATAGACCATCGGGTTGTCGAGAATTGAATGGCTTGAAACACGATCGCCATTTAATAATTAAATCTAAACTTGATGAATGGCTAAGATTAATGTAATTTGAATAAGATCCCATTATCTATTTTCAGATTAACCAACCGTATAAATACACGACAAACGTACTGAATTATAAACGTACTAAATTATATGAAAATATAATAAAAAATATATAAAGCACTATTTAGGTGCTATAAACTGTAAACTTTAAAATTGATATTTTTTTAGTGCCGATGTATATATAATAAAGAATATTACTACAATTAACATATATTTATTATCAAGACTAATTATCATTAATAACTATCAACCGATGTATAGTCATTCGGATAGAACGAAATACCGAGGTCGGTCCCGTGTACACATGCTTGCACGTAAAAGATCCCTTGGCAGTTGGAATTCGATATAAGAATAGGCCGTGGCGCCGCTGTCCGGGCATAATTTCCCTCATAGCACACTGTATGGCGTATATCTGTCTTCATTAGCCCAGTTAGAGAGAGAGAGAGAGAAATGGGGTTTAACGTCCACTCGACACAAACTAGGTCATTTCGGGACTAACATATGTTTTAATCTTTTTATTTCAATAATTCGCTCTGCGCGTAGGGGTCTTTAGCAGTGGGAGGAAACCGGAGGACCCGGAAAAACCCCACGAGATTGGACAGGCGACCCTACTCCTTGTCACGTTCAACTGGGGAATCGAAACCCCGCCAGTTGACTCAATGACAGACGGTATGATACAGCGCGCGCGTGCTAACCATTCGGCCATCCAACCCCCCAGCCCATTTAGAAGCAGAACAGTAGGATGTGAAACCCCATTTCATTTCATATCATTTCGCTAACCAGGGGTCTGGGATTCGCTCCCGATGCTGGCCTTGAAGGTTGCCCTCTGGATTTTCCGGCGTAATCCCCCATGGCAAGGACAGTGTCTAGTCTTTAGGATTGGACGAAAATAAGAATCCCGGTGTACGCATTGACGTGAACTTTATAGAAACCTTGGCAGTTGGAATTCGATATAAGAATGGACGCCAAAGCGCCTCTGTTTGGGCAAAAATTCCATCATAGCACACTATATATTGATAAAGAATTCTAGTCGGAACGTTGCCCGGTAATAAACCGTTAAATTATTCCATAGTTACTCGTGAACATGCCAGTCAATATACGTATTTATGCATATTATAATGTTTTTCTGCGATATAATTTAGCCTATCTCGTAATATTCACCATATGTTTGGTGCAATATAGCCCGGTTGGAGCTGAGGTGCCATCAAACCACTTTTCATTTCAATTAATTTATTGAAAGGCGACGCCCATATTACAAGCTTACGCAATACGTATAAATAGACTGGTTTTCCCGTTACTTTTGTATAGAATAGACTACGTTATCCAGACATAAATAAACACCTACTGAACAGACAATTGTGGAGGATTCATTCAGATAGTTACAACACTATTTATTATATTGATATATTTAGGTTATCTTAATCACCAGGAATTTATTATATTCGTTTCAACAAGTCGGGGCTATATTCTTTATCGAGAATGGCTATTCATGAGTGTAGAAATATTATAATTATTTATCGTACTTGATCTAGCTCAACGCAAATAGTAGTGAGACAGGTTATACAAGACTAAAACTCGTCATTAATACACTATACATAGACTGTGTTTTTCCAATGGGTAATTTTTATAGAACCCCCTTGATCTAGTGTTATACAGTTCTGTTTGTCTTTAGTAAGGTTCTAAGGGAACTCTAGTGGAAGAAAGTTGTCATAGAATAATAAGGATAAGAAGAATGGCCACCCCAGTAAGTACAACTACGTCATGTTTATAAAATAACACGTCAGTTTATGACGTCAATAACTAACCATCGTAATCTTGATAATGACTGTCTTATCTCTCGTAGAATACAAATACTGACGAGTGAGTACACGAAGCAGTGTATGTTTACTCCTATACTTGATACAACTAGTGTCTCTACATCTATGAGAGTCGTGTTGATGTAACAATTTACAAGTTCACTGGTTTATATTTACCTAGTATTTTTAAAGAACTGTGTAAGGTGCGCTTTAGATCATAAGGGCTGTCATAGAGTCACGTGGTGTGGTTTTGATTCGAGCATGTACCTGACAAGGAGTAGAGTCACCTGTCCAACCTCGCGGTTTTTATACTGATCCTCCGTTAGAAGGACGTTAAATCCCAGTTCATTCTCAGTGAGGAACTGTGCCATTTTCATTCCCCAGAGAGCCTTCTTTCTGTCTGTGTCCACCAGTCCTAACAAAATTTTCAACCCGATAGAATCAAACAATGAAAGTTTTTAAATTTGGCCCACAGTCCAACATGCTGGTGTAAATAAGTGAGACCAGAGTATGTTACATATAAAGAATAGAAATGTGGCGGATTTATATTTAATTTAAATACAAAGATTAATTCATCTGTTTTTGTATATATTTAAAATGTCTTCTCTTCTCACATGTTTCAGTACTCGACCCTGTGTTTAAGTCAAGGAGTTGTCCCCAGGCATCAACAAACGTCTGTACTACGCCACTGGTCAACCGAGCATCTCAAACTAGAGATTCAACGCATGCCCTTAATTTACAGCTCTCTTTCTGTTATTTAGATTCGTCGATGATTATCATATCTAAGAAGAGAGATATTGTTGTAATAATATTTACAAGTAGAGACTAGTTGTTTATTTATTTTCTATTCTAGTTATCAACCGTTACCAACAATACCTACAACACAATGTATAATATACATGGTGATTGTCAAGCTGTACATATTGGAACATCAAACACAATAAATGAAACTACTAACCAGACCGACAGTGATGATTGCACATCCGATTTGGAAGATTTGAAATTCCAGATGAATCGGATAAAGGAACAATTTGAACGAAAAGATGAGGAAATAGCTGAATTGAAAAATAGGGTTGCTGACCTGGAAGTATTTAAGACGAAAGTAGAACAATCCGAAGTCAAGACAAACACCAACACTAATACTAGACGTTATATCAGGGATACGAGTAATGATATTATTCTAAAGTTAGTTGACATGTAAGTAAATGTGTTCATAATAATATAAGTTTTTACTTATATCGAATGATGAAGTTTCTATATCACGTGACTTGAATAATAACCAACTAGAGGTGACTTGAATAATATACTGACTAGTGAAACAGTGGGATGTACTTTACAATATCCATAGTCAAAATAGTATTATATATTTAATAGTGTATTTAATAATAAGGGCTCAAGACAATGATTTTATCAATAATTTATCATTTAAATAATTTATAATACTCGTGTTTCTAAGGTTTAAAAAGATGATTATTGATAATGATATATTAACCTGTATTTATATCTATGGTGGCTGATTGGTAAGGAAATAAAATAAAATGAAATGGGGTTTAACGTCCAGCTGTTCTGCTCCGGGAGTCACAGTGGCTAAGTGATTAAGGCGCTGGCTCGCTGGCCTTGACGTCGCGGGTTTCGCCACCGGTGTTGGTCGACAAAGTTCATCAATATTTTCCGCGTGGTTTCCCTTTTTCAGGGATGCAGGAAGGAGGGCCTGACAAGGACAGCTATCTAGTCGTTCGGATGGGACAAAAAACCGAGGTCCTGTGTATATATTGGCGCGCACGGAAAAGATCCCTTGGCAATTGGAATTCGGTAGGCCGTAGCGCGGCTGTCCGGGTAAAATATCCCTCATAACACACTGAATGGTATAAACCCGTCTTCATTAGCCCAGTCGGAGCAGAACAGTAGGATGTTAAACTCTATTTCAACTAGTTTCATTCTGCTCCGACTGGGCTAATGAAAACGGACACGCCCTATACAGTGTACTGTGAGGGAAACTTTACCCGGATAGCGGCGCTACGACCTACTCTTATATTGAATTCAAACTGTCAGGGGGTCTTATACGTGCACGCCAGTATGTAAATGGGGCCTCGGTTTTTCGTCCCATCCGAACTACTATACTATTGTCCCTTGCCAACCCCCCCCCCCCCCCGTCCTGCACCACTGTCAAAGAGGAATCTCTCCAGAAATGTGGCTTAATGTCCTACTTTTCTGGTAGTCACGGTGACTCTTAGAATAAGACGATGGCTCGCTAACGTTGAGGTCTTGTGTTCAATCACTGCATTGGTCGAAAAAGCTCATCGGGGATAACGTATAGTCTTTTGGGTGGGACGAAAAATCGAAGTTCCGTGTACAGATAGAATTAAAGATAAGAGTAGGCCTTATAGCGCTGCTATCCGGGCAAAGTTTCCCTCACAGTGCACTGTATAGCCTATGCCCGTCTTCATTAAGCAGAACAGTAGAACGTTAAACACAATTTCATTTCATTCAATTTTCCTACTTTTCTGCACCGATCGGGCTATTGAAGATAGGCATGCGCAAGGCAAAGTACTATGACGGAAATTTTCAATTTTCGAAACTCAACTGTGAAGGATTCTTTTATGTGCTCGCCAATTTGTACACAGGAGCTTGTTTTTTGTCCCATCTACACAACTAGACACTGTACTTTGTCAGACCCGTCGTCCTGCACTACCGACAGGGAGGAACCACGCTGCAAAATCCCGGGGAACTTTCTTGACCAACACCAGGATCAGTGTATATAATCATAGTATTGAGAGGAATATGGCCGATAACCCATTATCACAACATGATACCAATCAGCCACCATATATATCAGTTGATAATGATATAATATATTAACCTGTATTTATATCAGTTGATAATGATATAATATATTAACCTGTATTTATAGTTCGCTAGGTAAAGATATGGTTACTATAACTGTCAGTAAGAAAGTCAGTTTTAATGATTTAATGAAGTTGATAGAAGAGAAGGAGAATAAGAAGATTAGTAGGATTGATATAATAGGATATAGAGATGGTAGCGGGACATGGATCTACGGCAGTCTACACAACAAGAACGACTATAGCCTGGAACAACTTGGTGTTGTAGACCAGGACAAGGTTCTGTGCTATAGTAAAATATAGAGATTATATTGATATGATGTATTTATGGTCTCCTTTATATTGAACAATGAGGTGTTTGGGGAGGGGGGGGTAGATATTACTTATAGTAAAATATAATGGTCGAACCAGAACGAGGTTAGGTATTATTATCTTATTGTCTCTTGATTAGGTTGTGAGGGTTGAATAAAGTAAAATGTTTGAGTGGTGATGTGGTGTGGGTGCTAAGTTAGTGAAGAGATTTATCAACCACATCAGCACCCTAGTATTTAACCAAGTATCTTATACCCCCCCCCCCCCAACCCCCATGATTGATATATTGAATCTTACTCTAAGTAATATCTAACCTGTCCCAACTGTCCACCTGTCCCACCTGTTAGTATTTAACCAAGTATCTTACCCCCCCCCCCAACCCCCATGATTGATATATTGAATCTTACTCTAAGTAATATCTTACCTGTCCCACCTGTCTCACCTGTTCCACCTGATTGATATATTGAATCTTACTCTAAGTAATATCTAACATCCTAATATAAAACTAGCTTACTACTGTAAATAAAGCTGTAATTCAATAGTCACGATTATCAGGTGATATGTAGTCGTGATCATGTGATAACTAACTGACATGTATATAATATAATATTATATTAGTGAAACAATGTTTTATATTTTTTGTTCTAATTTTGTTTCAATAAAATATTTTATAACTAAACTAATGTCGTTCTACTAATATTTCTATGGTGTCAGGAAATGAGATAGTTACCACTAACAGAGGGGGTCAGTCTGTGGTATCATGAAATACTGGATAACGCTGTCAACATGTGTCTAGTCATACGAATGGAACAAAAAAAGAGAATCTATCTTGAAGAAATAATTCTAGGAACAGTTGGCTGCAATGGGCAATTAATACAGGGTGACGTACACAATATGTTTCTAGTCATTCGAATGGGACGTGCAAAAAAAAACCCCAATCAAATACAGATTACAGATGCTTTACGCACAACCAAAGGACTTTCTCGTTGATTAAAATAAATACGCAAATACAATCTGTTTCTAATCTAGATTAAATGAGTTTTTAGTGGTGACTTGAAAATTGTGAATCTTTAAGATCCTTTAATTTTTAATGGCAGAGGGGTTGAATGGACGAATGGTTAGTGCGTGCGCGTTGTATCAATAATGTTTGTCATATTGAGTCAACTGGCGTGGGTTCGATTCCCAGGTTGTACGCGATAAGGAGTAGGGTCGCCTGTCCAACCTCGTTGGTTTTCTCCGGGTCCTCCGGTTTCATCTCACTTCAAAAGACCCCTACGCGCAAGCAAATTATTGAAAAAAAACAGAACCATGTTAATCCCGAAATGACAATGTTTGTGTCGAGAGGACGTTCAACTCTCTCTCTCTCTCTCTCTCTCGCCCTCTCTCTCTCTCTCTCTCTCTCTCTCTGGCAACAAATTCCAAACGTTTTAGTTTAGTTTAGTGTTAGAAATAGCAAGCATGTTTTTGATATTCGATCTTAGGGATTACAGTTTGTCAAAAGTTCAGATAAATATAAGGGGACGAAATGATTTCGACATTGATAGACTAATGACAGAACTTTATACTAGAATCCAGGGTTCGACATTCAACCAAATGAAATGAAATGAAATGAAATGGGGTTTAACGTCCTACTGTTCTGCTCCTAACCTGGGCTAATGAAGACGGGCATACGCCATACAGTGTGCTATGAGGGAAATTTTGCCCGGACAGCGGCACTACGGCCTACTCTTATATCGAATTCCAACTGCCAAGGGATCTTTTACGTGCACGCCAATGTGTACACGGGGCCTCGGTTTTTCGTCCCATCCGAACGACTAGACAGCTTTCCTTGTCAGCCCCTCCGTCCTGCATCACTGACAAGGGAGAACCACGCCGGAAAATCTGGATGAACTTTCTCGGCCAATGCAGGGATCGAACACCCGACCTCCAGGCTAGCGAGCTAGCGTCTTACCCACTTAGTCACGTGATCCCCGACATTCAACCAGTGGAGCGACTTTAACATGGATGATATGTGTAAATACAGTTTGTAATGATCCGCTGTGTGGTACCTAATACAACAACTTAATGTTACCTACCTGTATATAATAGTACCTGTCGTCTATATACAACAACCTACCTGTATATAACAGTACCTGTCGATCATACTATACATCAACCTACCTGTATATAAGTCCCGTAGAGAGGGAGATAACTCTCTTTTTAACCTGACAAATTATTTTAGTTCAGTACAGTTATATCAGCCCACCATTGTATCAACTTTTATCAACTGATAAAACTTCTCAGCTGAATAATACAATAGGAAATTAATTTATCAAAGGCTCTGTTATTTTAAATATAATATTTTACAGGTTACACAAATGTGAATATTTACTTCATGCATACAGTTTACTATTTACAGTTTAAAATAGGTAGATATGTGTTCCTTGTTGGAGGGGGGGGGGCGTGTATAATATTAACATAGTCTTGACCATGTATCATATTAACATAGACTTGATCATCATAGGTATACCATGCATCATTATTAACATAGACTTGATCGTCATAGCTATTATACCATGTATCATATACTGAGCGCCATGGAAAACGCATCACTTTTTTTCCCAAATATTTTATTACTAGGTGGTTTTGTATGTATAATATAATGCAATACTTTGAACTATTGTTTCACACAATGCTCCCAAACGCAAAAAAAAAATCGGGCCGTGTGCACAAAAAAAAAAAATTGCACGAGATGCACATGAAAAACCCAATATTCACGTGCAGCATTGTGTGTGAGCCCTTTAAAAGCATGTTTTCAACTTAATGTGCAGTACATGAACTGTGAAACGTGAATCTGTCGTAATTTGTTGTTGGACGTGTGAAGGAATCGAGCTAGACATGCCGAGACTTACTGAAAATCAACGGAATGAAGCCATGGGAATGTCCAGGGCTGGCATTTCTACACGTGCTATTGCCAGACACTTCAATTGTCATCAGTCCACTATTGTAAGGTTGGTGGAACGTGTTCGAGTTACTGGATCAACACGTGACCGTCAACGTCCTGGTCCACAACGCGTTACAACCCGGGCTCAAGACCGCTACATCCGGGTCACACATCTGCGAGACAGATTCTGCCCAGCGACTCGAACAGGTGCAGCAGTCGTCGGAAGACAAGGACCAGTATGTGCCAACACTGTAAGACGTCGTCTAAGAGAAGTAGGGCTCCGTGCACGACGACCTTACGTTGGAGCTATCCTCAGGGATCATCACCGTCAGTGGCGTTTGATGAGAATGATGAGAGTCGCTTTCATCTTTATCACGCTGATGGCCGTCAACGTGTGTGGAGACGTCTTGGGGAACGTCTTGCAGACTGCTGCGTCTTCGAAACGAATAGATGGGGTGGGGGAAGTGTAATGGCGTGGGGAGGCTTCACATTTCATCACCGGACCGCCCTACACATTTGCAGGAGTAGCGTTAATGCTGTAGCCTACCCTGATGATGTCTTGCAACCAATTGTTGTTCCGATGTTTCGAGCGCACCCACAACTTCAGCACTTCCAACAGGATAATGCACGTCCGCATACCGCCCGTTTTAGTATGGACTACCTGGCTGCTAACAACAGTAATGTCTTGGACTGGCCAGCCATGTCTCCGAACATGGCACCGATAGAACATGTCTGGGATGGGATTTGACGCTGTCTGTATCGGAGACCACAGATGCACACCATTGCTGCTTTAGAAGCTGCTCTTGTCCAAGAATGGAACAATTTGCCCCAGGCCTTCTTTCAAACATTGGTAAATTCCATGCGACGTCGCTGCACAGCGTGCGTAAGAGCCCGTGGAGGACACACGCGCTACTGACGTCTGTGTCGTACTTTTGGTTTTGACCCCTCTAACTTTGTACTGTTGATTACAAATTAAACATCCATAAGTGTACAAATGTGTTGTTATTGATGTGTTCCCATTTGAATATTGTTCACAATAAGAAGCAAAATAAATAAGATATGTTTACAGGATCATTTTGTTATACGAAAACCTAAGTGATGCGTTTTCCATGGCGCTCAGTATATTAACATAGACTTCATCGTCTCGGCTATACCATGGATCATATTAACATGGACTCAGTCGTCATGAAATGAAATGAAATGAAACGTTCTACTTTTCTGCTCCTAACCTGGGCTAATGAAGACGGGCATACGCCATACAGTGTGCTATGAGGGAAATTTTTTGCCCGGGCAGCGGCGATACCGCCTACTCTTATATCGAATTCTATCTGCCAAGGGATCTTTTACGTGCACGCCAATGTGTACACGGGACCTCGGGTTTTCGTCCAATCCGAACGACTAGACAGCTGTCCTTGTCAGGCCCTCCATCCTGCATCACTGACAAGGGGAAACCACGCCGGAAAATCTGGATGAACTTTCTCGGCCAATGCAGGGATGGAACACGCGACTTCCAGGTGTGCGAGCCAGCGTCTTACCCACTTAGCCACGTTTTCCATGTATCATATTAACATAGACGTGATCATCATAGATATACCTTGAATAAGTTAACATAGACTTGATGTTCATAACTACCATGTATTTTTTATTAATGTCAGATTTCTTAGAGGATTCATTTGTCCGGCACTAATTAACCCGGGAGCCACGGTGACACAGTGCTAAAAGATGTTGAGGGGGGGGCGAATGGTTAACGCGTACGCATTCGATCATAAGGTCTGCCATTGGAGAAATGACATCTCTTTATCTAATCTTCCATAATATCCCTTTTTATAAGTATTAACACTAGAATACGATACGTTAAAGGACTAATCCCGATAATTTTTGGAAAAATAAAACTGCTTGATTTTGTGTTAAAATCCCTTAAAATCCTCTACCCAAGGGACAAGCAACTAACTCAATATTTGTGATATGTTTTCAAACAACTTAAACCTGTCAGTCTTCATCTGGAAATGGAAACTGGTGTATTATGCAGTGTCTGGATAAAACCAGACTTTTATTTTATAAAAAATAATGTGTAGGTGAAATTTACCATTCATTACAGCACATGGGTCGTTCACTGTATAGACCTCTCAAGGAACGGAAATCGATTATCAGGTCACCCAACGAAAAAATTGACTCGAAATCTTGAAAGGGTTACGTGTCCGGATAAGCATTTTTGATGTTCACGTCGAAACGACTCAATATTTTGAGCTGAAATTTTGAGACAAGGTAAATACACCATCCCTCTATATTTTGGCGCTTAAATTTCATACGTACTTGGACTTTTATTTTTGAGACTCTGTTCAAATTGGGAAAGTTCCTTTAAAGTTTAATACTGACACAAAATTCATATACAAACCATTTTTTTTATTCAAAATGAAATTAAAAGAATCTTCGTCGTGCGTGCAGTTTCTGTTCTTACACACAAGTAATATGGAATTTGGGTGTTTGTTGCATGGCAACCGTTTGTTGTATATTGTAGCTAAGAACAAGTAAAAGGGAATGTGGGCGTATCTTGCATGGCAACCGTTTGTTGTATATTGTAGTTAAGAACAAGTAATATCGAATGAAGTTTATAAAACATTCATTATCAACTAATGATATTTCAGTACAGATACAAATCATAAGGGATCACGTGGCTAAGTGGGTAAGACGCTGGCTCGTTTACCTGGAGGTCGGGTGTTCGATCCCTGCATATGCCGAGAAAGTTCATCCCGATTTTACGGCGTGGTTTCCCCTTGTCAGTGATGCAGGATTTAGGGCCTGACAAGGACAGCTGTCTAGTCGTTTGGATGGGACAAAAAACCGAGATCCCGTGTACACATTGGCGTGCACGTAAAAGATCCCTTGACAGTTGGAATTCGGTATAAGAGTAGGCCGTAGCGCCGCCGCCCGGGCAAAATTTCCCTCATAGCACACTGTATGGCGTATGCCCGTCTTCATTAGCCCAGTTTAGGAGCAGAACAGTAGGACGTTAAACCCCATTTCATTTGATTTCATAAACTTTAAATTTGGATCTATAAATAAAACTTTATAAACCTTTTTGTTTTTGTTCCTTTACTCAAATCAAATGAAACCATATAAAATAAATGAGATTATAAATTATGCATATTACCCGGCCCCTAGTACACCAAACCTCTAGCTTCTATAAAACTTTATAGATAACTATAATGTCTTTTTGTTCAATCTGTCATACATCAAGAACAAGGTATAGATATTAAGCATAAAATGTGTTATTTAAGATACACTGTGTAAGAACTAAATCGGTTTATAGCAAGGTTTTTATTTGACTTCAAATGTTATATAAATTATTCACATGCCAGGCCAATAATAAACTAGATAGACCATCGGGTTGTCGAGAATTGAATGGCTTGAAACACGATCGCCATTTAATAATTAAATCTAAACTTGATGAATGGCTAAGATTAATGTAATTTGAATAAGATCCCATTATCTATTTTCAGATTAACCAACCGTATAAATACACGACAAACGTACTGAATTATAAACGTACTAAATTATATGAAAATATAATAAAAAATATATAAAGCACTATTTAGGTGCTATAAACTGTAAACTTTAAAATTGATATTTTTTTAGTGCCGATGTATATATAATAAAGAATATTACTACAATTAACATATATTTATTATCAAGACTAATTATCATTAATAACTATCAACCGATGTATAGTCATTCGGATAGAACGAAATACCGAGGTCGGTCCCGTGTACACATGCTTGCACGTAAAAGATCCCTTGGCAGTTGGAATTCGATATAAGAGTAGGCCGTAGCGCCGCTGTCCGGGCATAATTTCCCTCATAGCACACTGTATGGCGTATATCTGTCTTTATTAGCCCAGTTAGAGAGATAGAGAGAGAAATGGGGTTTAACGTCCACTCGACACAAACTAGGTCATTTCGGGACTAACATATGTTTTAATCTTTTTATTTCAATAATTCGCTCTGCGCGTAGGGGTCTTTAGCAGTGGGAGGAAACCGGAGGACCCGGAAAAACCCCACGAGATTGGACAGGCGACCCTACTCCTTGTCACGTTCAACCGGGGAATCGAAACCCCGCCAGTTGACTCAATGACAGACGGTATGATACAGCGCGCGCGCGCGTGCTAACCATTCGGCCATCCAACCCCCCAGCCCATTTAGAAGCAGAACAGTAGGATGTGAAACCCCATTTCATTTCATATCATTTCGCTAACCAGGGCTCTGGGATTCGCTCCCGATGCTGGCCTTGAAGGTTGCCCTCTGGATTTTCCGGCGTAATCCCCCATGGCAAGGACAGTGTCTAGTCTTTAGGATTGGACGAAAATCAGAATCCCGGTGTACGCATTGACGTGAACTTTATAGAAACCTTGGCAGTTGTAATTCGATATAAGAATGGACGCCAAAGCGCCTCTGTTTGGGAAAAAATTCCATCATAGCACACTATATATTGATAAAGAATTCTAGTCGAAACGTTGCCCGGTAATAAACCGTTGAAGTATTCCATAGTTACTCGTGAACATGCAAGTCAATATACGTATTTATGCATATTATAATGTTTTTCTGTGATATAATTTAGCCTGTCTAGTAATATTCACCATATGTTTGGTGCAATATAGCCCGGTTGGAGCTGAGGTGCCATCAAACCACTTTTCATTTCAATTAATTTATTGAAAGGCGACGCCCATATTACAAGCTTACGCAATACGTATAAATAGACTGGTTTTCCCGTTACTTTTGTATAGAATAGACTACGTTATCCAGACATAAATAAACACCTACTGAACAGACAATTGTGGAGGATTCATTCAGATAGTTACAACACTATTTATTATATTGATATATTTAGGTTATCTTAAACACCAGGAATTTATTATATTCGTTTCAACAAGTCGGGGCTATATTCTTTATCGAGAATGGCTATTCATGAGTGTAGAAATATTATAATTATTTATCGTACTTGATCTAGCTCAACGCAAATAGTAGTGAGACAGGTTATACAAGACTAAAACTCGTCATTAATACACTATACATAGACTGTGTTTTTCCAATGGGTAATTTTTATAGAACCCCCTTGATCTAGTGTTATACAGTTCTGTTTGTCTTTAGTAAGGTTCTAAGGGAACTCTAGTAGAAGAAAGTTGTCATAGAATAATAAGGATAAGAAGAATGGCCACCCCAGTAAGTATAACTACGTCATGTTTATAAAATAACACGTCAGTTTATGACGTCAATAACTAACCATCGTAATCTTGATAATGACTGTCTTATCTCTCGTAGAATACAAATACTGACGAGTGAGTACACGAAGCAGTGTATGTTTACTCCTATACTTGATACAACTAGTATCTCTACATCTATGAGAGTCGTATTGATGTAACAATTTACAAGTTCACTGGTTTATATTTACCTAGTATTTTTAAAGAACTGTGTAAGGTGCGCTTTAGATCATAAGGGCTGTCATAGAGTCACGTGGTGTGGTTTTGATTCGAGCATGTACCTGACAAGGAGTAGAGTCACCTGTCCAACCTCGCGGTTTTTATACTGATCCTCCGTTAGAAGGACGTTAAACCCCAGTTCATTCTCAGTGAGGAACTGTGCCATTTTCATTCCCCAGAGAGCCTTCTTTCTGTCTGTGTCCACCAGTCCTAACAAAATTTTCAACACGATAGAATCAAACAATGAAAGTTTTTAAATTTGGCCCACAGTCCAACATGCTGGTGTAAATAAGTGAGACCAGAGTATGTTACATATAAAGAATAGAAATGTGGCGGATTTATATTTAATTTAAATACAAAGATTAATTCATCTGTTTTTGTATATATTTAAAATGTCTTCTCTTCTCACATGTTTCAGTACTCGACCCTGTGTTTAAGTCAAGGAGTTGTCCCCAGGCATCAACAAACGTCTGTACTACGCCACTGGTCAAACGAGCATCTCAAACTAGAGATTCAACGCATGCCCTTAATTTACAGCTCTCTTTCTGTTATTTAGATTCGTCGATGATTATCATATCTAAGAAGAGAGATATTGTTGTAATAATATTTATAAGTAGGGACTGGTTGTTTATTTATTTTCTATTCCAGATATCAACCGTTACCAACAATACCTACAACACAATGTATAATATACATGGTGATTGTCAAGCTGTACAGATTGGAACATCAAACACAATAAATGAAACTACTAACCAGACCGACAGTGATGATTGCACATCCGATATGGAAGATTTGAGATTCCAGATGAATCGGATAAAGGAACAATTTGAACGAAAAGATGAAGAAATAGCTGAACAATCAGAAGTCAAGACAAACACCAACACTAATACTAGACGTTATATCAGGGATACGAGTAATGATATTATTCTAAAGTTAGTTAACATGTAAGTAAATGTGTTCATAATAATATATATTTTGACAACTGTCAAATTTTACATATTGTTACAAGAGTCTTGAGTTTTTACTTATATCGAATGATGAAGTTTCTATATCACGTGACTTGAATAATAACCAACTAGAGGTGACTTGAATAATATACTGACTAGTGAAACAGTGGGATGTACTTTACAATATCCATAGTCAAAATAGTATTATATATTTAATAGTGTATTTAATAATAAAGGCTCAAGACAATGATTTTATCAATAATTTATCATTTAAATAATTTATAATACTCGTGTTTCTAAGGTTTACAAAGATGATTATTGATAATGATATATTAACCTGTATTTATATCTATGGTGGCTGATTGGTAAGGAAATAAAATAAAATGAAATGGGGTTTAACGTCCAGCTGTTCTGCTCCGGGAGTCACAGTGGCTAAGTGATTAAGGCGCTGGCTCGCTGGCCTTGACGTCGCGGGTTCGCCACCGGTGTTAGTCGACAAAGTTCATCAATATTTTCCGCGTGGTTTCCCTTTTTCAGCTATCTAGTCGTTCGGATGGGACAAAAAACCGAGGTCCTGTGTATATATTGGCGCGCACGGAAAAGATCCCTCGGCAATTGGAATTCGGTATAAGAGTAGGCCGTAGCGGGGCTGTCCGGGTAAAATATCCCTCATAACACACTGAATGGTATAAACCCGTCTTCATTAGCCCAGTCGGAGCAGAACAGTAGGATGTTAAACTCCATTTCAACTAGTTTCATTCTGCTCCGACTGGGCTAATGAAGACGGACACGCCCTATACAATGTACTGTGAGGGAAACTTTACCCGGATAGCGGCGCTACGACCTACTCTTATATTGAATTCAAACTGTCAGGGGGTCTTATACGTGCACGCCAGTATGTAAATGGGGCCTCGGTTTTCCGTCCCATCCGAACTACTATACTACTGTCCCTTGCCAGCCCCCCCCCCCCCCGTCCTGCACCACTGTCAAAGAGGAATCTCTCCAGAAATGTGGCTTAATGTCCTACTTTTCTGGTAGTCACGGTGACTCAGTGAATAAGACGATGGCTCGCTAACGTTGAGGTCTTGTGTTCAATCACTGCATTGGTCGAGAAAGCTCATCGGGGATAACGTATAGTCTTTTGGGTGGGACGAAAAATCGAAGTTCCGTGTACAGATAGAATTCAAGATAAGAGTAGGCCTTATAGCGCTGCTATCCGGGCAAAGTTTCCCTCACAGTGCACTGTATAGCCTATGCCCGTCTTCATTAAGCAGAACAGTAGAACGTTAAACACAATTTCATTTCATTCAATTTTCCTACTTTTCTGCACCGATCGGGCTATTGAAGATAGGCATGCGCAATGCAAAGTACTATGACGGAAATTTTCAATTTTCGAAACTCAACTGTGAAGGATTCTTTTATGTGCTCGCCAATTTGTACACAGAAGCTTGTTTTTTGTCCCATCTACACAACTAGACACTGTACTTTGTCAGACCCGTCGTCCTGCACTACCGACAGGGAGGAACCACGCTGCAAAATCCCGGGGAACTTTCTTGACCAACACCAGGATCATTGTATATAATCATAGTATTGAGAGGAATATGGCCGATAACCAAACATCACAACATGATACCAAACAGCCACCATATATATCAGTTGATAATGATATAATATATTAACCTTTATTTATATCAGTTGATAATGATATAATATATTAACCTGTATTTATAGATATAGAGGTACAGATATGGGTACTATAACTGTCAGTAAGAAAGTCAGTGCTAATGATTTAATGAAGTTGATAGAAGAGAAGAAGAATGAGAAGAGTAGTGTGTTTGATATAGCAGGATATAGAGATGGTAGTGTGAGAGAGATCTACGACAGTTGTAGCAACAAGAACGACTATAGCCTGGAACAACTTGGTGTTGTAGACCAGGACCAGGTTCTATACTGTTGCTAGTAAAATATAGAGATTATATTGATATGATGTATTTATGGTCTCCTTTATATTGAACAATGAGGGGGGGGGGGGGGGGTAGATATTACTTATAGTAAAATATAATGGACGAACCAGAACGAGGTTAGGTATTATTATCTTATTGTCTCTTGATTAGGTTGTGAGGGTGGAATAAAGTAAAATGTTTGAGTGGTGTTGTGGGTGATGTGGTGTGGTGGAGTGGGTGCTAAGTTAGTGAAGAGATTTATCAACCACACCAGCACCCTAGTATTTAACCAAGTATCTTATACCCCCCCCCACCACCACCCCCATGATTGATATATTGAATCTTACTCTAAGTAATATCTAACCTGTCCCAACTGTCCACCTGTTAGTATTTAACCAAGTATCTTATACCCCCCCCCCCCAACCCCCATGATTGATATATTGAATCTTACTCTAAGTAATATCTTACCTGTCGCACCTGTCCCACCTGATTGATATATTGAATCTTACTCTAAGTAATATCTTACCTGTCTCACCTGTCCCACCTGATTGATATATTGAATCTTACTCTAAGTAATATCTAACCTGTCCCAACTGTCCACCTGTCCCACCTGTTAGTATTTAACCAAGTATCTTATACCCCCAACCCCCATGATTGATATATTGAATCTTACTCTAAGTAATATCTTACCTGTCTCACCTGTCCCACCTGATTGATATATTGAATCTTACTCTAAGTAATATCTAACATCCTAATATAAAACTAGCTTACTACTGTAAATAGAGCTGTAATTCAATAGTCACGATTATCAGGTGATATGTAGTCGTGATCATGTGATAACTAACTGACATGTATATAATATATAATTATATTAGTGAAACAATGTTTTATATTTTGTATTCTAATTTTGTTTCAATAAAATATTTTATAACTAAACTAATGTCGTTCTACTAATATTTCTATGGTGTCAGGAAATGAGTTAGTTACCACTAACAGAGGAGGTCAGTCTGTGGTATCATGAAATACTGGATAACGCTGTCAACATGTGTCTAGTCATACGAATGGAACAAAAAAAGAGAATCTATCTTGAAGAAATAATTCTAGGAACAGTTGGCTGCAATGGGCAATTAATACAGGGTGACGTACACAATATGTTTCTAGTCATTCCAATGGGACGTGCAAAAAAAACACCCCAATCAAATACAGATTACAGATGCTTTACGCACGACCAAAGGACTTTCTCGTTGATTAAAATAAATACGCAAATACAATCTGTATCTAATCTAGATTAAATGAGTTTTTAGTGGTGACTTGAAAATTGTGAATCTTTAAGATCCTTTAATTTTTAATGGCGGAGGGGTTGAATGGACGAATGGTTAGTGCGTGCGCGTTGTATCAATAATGTTTGTCATATTGAGTCAACTGGCGTGGGTTCGATTCCCAGGTTGTACGCGATAAGGAGTAGGGTCGCCTGTCCAACCTCGTTGGTTTTCTCCGGGTCCTCCGGTTTCATCTTACTTCAAAAGACCCCTACGCGCAAGCAAATTATTGAAAAAAAACTGAACCATGTTAGTCCCGAAATGACAATGTTTGTGTCGAGAGGACCTCTCTCTCTCTCTCTGGCAACAAATTCCAAACGTTTTAGTTTTTTTTTTTAGTTTTTTTTTATTTATTTAATTCACAAAAATATTGCACACATACAAAATTAAAACAATAAAAGTTACATCAGTTTAAAGTCACCATCTAATTAAATTTGATATTGATTTTATCATTAATTTCTATATAGGAATTCATTGAAAATAGTAATAAATATTTATGTCGATTACTGTGCTTTGACATATACTGATACAAGTAATTCATGTGTTTAGTTAGAAGTGTTTTAAATAATTTACACAAATCTACCCTGGTGGCTTCATTTAAAAACAAAATTCTCCGTTTGATAATAGCTAATCTAGCAAACGAGAAAATAAAAATTAAAAACAGATTATTGGCTTCATTTCGCACAGGATAACCAAACAGTAACCACTGACGAAAATCATCTAGTCCAAAACCCGAGGATTGGAAAAACACCTCTATAAAATCTAAAATACATTCATGCAAATTCTTAACAGATTTGCAATCTAGAATTATATGCTCTAAATTTTCAATAGAATCTTTATCACAGAATTTACAATAAGGATTATTTATTTTACCAATATTATGAAGCTTCTCATTAGTCCAAATGATGTTATGAACAATTCTATAATCATTATCTAACGATTCTGAACTTTTATTCATAGCAAAAACAGACTTCCATACCACTGGCCAGTTGATGTCGTACCCTCGGTGCTGCCAATAAGATTCGCAGACAGGGGGTTCAAAATACTTATCCCTTATAGACCGAAGACGTACTTAATTGATAGATAGCATAGATGTTATCATTCATAATCAGTTCAAAATCTAATTCATAGCGTATAATATCACTCTTAGAGCGAATTATTTTAGTCCAGGACACTGGCAAACATTTAAGAATCAAATTATACTGATTTTCAATTTTCTCATATTTACAATCTGGTAACGATTCTCTAGCCATTTCAAATATAGCGTCAACTGATAAAAATCCTGGGATAAAAATATAACATAGATCAGAAATTTTGACTAAACCGGCTTCTATAAAATCACAGAAATATAAAGTTTTATCATCATATACAATCTGTGGATTATCAAATAATGGTTGATTGAGGATGTCATTATAATTATCAGCAACTGGCCTTTTACCATTATGAAAGTCATCCCACGAAATCAGCATAGATCTATAAAAAGATGGCAACACCTTTAAAGCAGGTTTAGAATAGTTAATAAATAATAATTCAAATGAACACAAATAATTTTTATAAAGTTTTAAAAAATAAGTCATAAAATATTTCCAGATAAAATTATCTGGACAGGATAAATATTTAGATAGCCAGTATAACCTAAATGCTTTCTGTTTTAAAATAACAGAATTCAGATTAAGACCCCCAACATCAGTACTACCTAAAATAGAAGTCCTCTTAATAAGGGGTGGTTTACCATTCCAAATAAAGGATCTAATAGATTTTTCAATACGATCCTGAGCCCATAGTGGAATTTCTACAACTCTTAATAGATACCATAAAGTTGATAGACACATGATGTTGACAATTAAAACTTTACCACGTAACTGAAGCCCTCTCTGCCTCCAGAGATTAAGTATTCTGCCAATTTTATTAACCTTGGAATCCCAATTTGATCGTTCACACATTGCTTCATCCGGACCCAAATACACACCGAGAAACTTTGCCGCTCCATGTAAAACTTTAACAGGTAAAGAGTCAGGATTTGAAACAGAGGCACTGCCCGCTAATAAGAGCTCAGATTTCTCGGCGTTAATTTTGGCTCCCGAAGCCGAACAATAAACTCCAACTGTGGATAGAGCTTCATTTACAGAATCTAAATTAGATAAAGACAAAGTTGTGTCATCAGCGTGTTGAAACACGGTTGAATTATAATCACATCCTGGAACAGCAAAACCCTTGATATTCTCATTAGACTTAATAAGTAAATTTAATGGAACTGAGGTTAATACATATAACAAGGCCGAAATTCCACATCCTTGGCGAACAGAGCGAAGGATAGGGAATGATAAAGAGACATGCCCGTTTACCTTTACCGAACTTCTAATGTCTTTATACAAGATTTTAATAGAATTGATAAATTTCTCACCAAATCCAAATTTATGTAATAAATTGAACATATAATCATGAGAAACCCTGTCAAATGCTTTCTCGGCATCTAATTTCAAAAGATACAGAGGAAGGTCTTCAAGTTCAGCAAAGGAAATAAGGTCACGTATGTTAAGAATATTGGTAGCAATATCCCTGCCTGGAACACAACAAGACTGATCAGTCGATACAAGATCAGCTACTACTGTTTTTAATCTAAGAGCTAGTGTCCTGAAGAAGATCTTGTTATCAACATTTAAGAGACTTATGGGTCGCCAATTACGTAATTCATCTTTATTACCACGCTTTTTGAAAAATAACGAAATTGTCCCTCTCTTCATGGAATTACTGAGCTCTCCCATCTCCTGTATATTAGAAATAACTTGAAAATAATATTTTCCTAAAATGTCCCAAAAATGCAAATAAAATTCGACAGTAATTCCGTCCGGACCGGGAGATTTCCCTTTCTTCATGCCCTTTAAAGAATTGTACAATTCATGAATGGAAATATCAGAGTCACAATATTTAGATTTAGCTTCATCTAACTGATCAGTAATTAAATCAAATAACTTATTTTGATTGGCCTCATTAATTGGTTCATTCGTATATAGTTTTGTATAAAATTTAACACATTCTTCAAGAATTTCAGGAGTTGAATTGACAAAAGAACCGTCAGATCTTTTCAAAGTCTTAACAATATTACTCCCCTGTTTAAATTTTTCTAAATTAAGAAAATAACGTGAGCATTTGTCTGTATCGAGGATGACGGGTTTTTGATCTAAGTATAGCCCCGTCACATATCTGTTTTTCATATTGTTCAAGTTTATTCTTTAGTTCATAAATTTGGGTATAGTCGTAATTTTTAACTGTATTGGCTTTAGTATAATGAAATTTAATGCAGTCTGAATCTGCCAGAAATCGTCCTGCTCTTGTTTTCTCCTTTTCTGGGCATGTAAAATACTAAATTGTTTTATACGGTATTTCAAATTGTCCCACCATACTAATTGTTCAGTTTTATATAAAGGACAGGAAAGGGATTTACTAATTAATGATTTGACACCTTCACAATATTCATGTTCTTTAAGATACTTGTTGTTAAAGATCCACAATCCAGGCCCTTTATCATAGTTGTTAAAATTGAGAATTGCAGTAACGAAACTATGATCACTAGTTGTAGTATGGGATATAAAACAATAAGATATAAACATCAGAATCGATGACGTGGTAAATATATAGTCCAATCGAGACTGCTTCAACACACCTTGTACGAATTGTTGACGCGTAAAAGTATCTTTGCCTGGGTTTTCCTTCGCCAAATGTCAAACAAATTATTAGTAAACGCAAAATCAAAGAGATCCTTGGTTGATCCACCATAAGCAGACATATTTTTAGATCGATCAGCAAACCCGTTCATGACGTCATTGAAATCACCACAAACAATAGAATTTTCAGATATTCTGCCACCAATTTGATCAAAGAACTCTCTCCTATCTTTTTGAATATTAGGGGCATAAATACATATAAGTTTGAAGGTACACTCATTAATTTCAACATCACATTCAAGATATCGACCATCATCGTCAGAGTAAACAAAATTACAGTTTTCAGAGTATTTTTTAGACACAAATAAAGCGCAGCCTTTAAAACCATGCAGACTATTTGAAAAATAAATATCACCACTCCAAAGATGTTTAAAAGAATTAATAAAATTGTCATCCCAATGAGTTTCTTGAACGCACACAAAATCTAAACTTTTGCTCTGAAAATTAGCTATTAAATTACTGAATTTATTCACGTTCGTAAGTCCATTGACATTAATTGTAGCTACTTTAACAATTAAAATATAAAGTGAGAAAAAGGTTAACATGATTTTATCTTAAATATTTTATTTTGATTTATTCTTAAGGGCACTTTCAATCGAAACTTTCATACGATCACCCACAAGAGGATTTATGACCCCTTTCTTAATTTTACCAATTTTACTTTTTAAGGGATTATAAGCAGCAGATTTCCTATTGCGCCGAGGATATGGTGACTTGCGTTCTGTTGAATCCCCAAAAGACACCTGACTATAATAAGAATCTTCTATCTCAAATTCATTATCATCTTCAACCGTTTTATCAACATCAACTTCAGTTTCACTTATTGGCCTATCATCTAAGTGGCAAAAACCATTAGCAACTTGATCAACATCTGAATTTAATTTATCGCATA